GCCAGCCTCCCCCCCCCAAACCCACCACTACTATGCTCGCGCTCTACGCATACCCAATGATGAAACAAGTACAGTTAAATTTACACAGTTGTATCTTATATTAACGCTACTACCGCACTAGAAGCAAAAGCCTATCATAGATTTAGAGCTGTGATTAGGTAGCTCATCCTAGCATGTAGCTCTGAGCGCGAACGCGGTGGCGGCGAGGGCTCCGCACTTGGCATTTGCCGTTGCCAGTGATTATCAGCAGAATACCCGCTCCTACAGTACACGCAGTGAGCGCTGTCGCCTCTGCTGCAACTTGTTATTAATACCAGGAGCTCCAACATCCCAGGGATCCAGAATACATAAATGGCTTTAATTACTAGGCGCTGTTATTCTATACTGTATAGTTTTCTGTCTTGGTAGACTTAGGTTATATTTATTATTAACATTTCCATCTGATTGTTGTGAGTGTGAAAAAAGTGAATGTATCATGATGATAACAGCCGCCCTACGTGGAACACCAGCCATTGCTGTGTTTGCTAGCCTTGCCCCTGTTTGCATAAATAAAAGCATACTAGCTGACTACTATCGGAGTTAAAAACTGTTAACAATGTTGAGAGGGAATGAAGTAAATTTTTGTGATGCGATCAATTGCATTATTGCCAGTCCGCGACTTGCTACGGGCGTATCATGCGATTGAAATTGTTCGTATCATTGTTTTTAGTAATCAATTATTAGTTAATTATTAGTAAGTATTACATTTTATATTGTTTAACGATACCCCAACTCGCCTTAGTAGAAGATGTTTCCTAAATGGTTTGTTTACTGACAATTTTTACAAATAAATATGAGAGTTGTACATAAACAACTGTCTGTTATTGTGTAGGGTGACGTTATTATATACTGCCCCAGCCCAATCTATATATAGTATCTCGTGTACGAGCAATGTAAAACTGAAGATGCCAGCATATATGGTAGCGCACAGAGATGAGCCTATGAAAATATTTAGAGATGCTCGATACGGTAGTGCCGAAGCCAGTAACTTACAAATGCATATATATATATTATATATATATATACGCACGCACGCAGCGCAACGCACGCACGCACGCGCGCGCACATATATATAGCAGGCAGTGATTTATAGCTTTTAAAAACGCAGCGCAAAGAGCATTGAAGAAAATGGCCATCCAGACAAAATCCCACAGACAAAATCCACAGACAAAATCCACATTCTATTCAGTGATCAACCATTCTCGACGGAAGCCATAATAATAATAATAATATTATAATATTATTATGTTATTATTATTATATAATAATTGCAGGGTCGTACGTACGCCGTGGTGAAATGGAATGTGTACCGCACACAGGCGCGGGCGGTTGGGGGGGGAGGAATTGAAAATGTAGATCGCAGGGAGATGTATTTGAGGCCACTTTTGAGTAAATGCTACCAGCCTTCATTCTGAATACGACACAATAATCTTGTTAGGAGAACTATTCTCGTTCATTAGCCAACAAATGTGAGGCACTAAAAGATCACTATAACTATTATTTTATATTATTAACAACACTTGGCGTAGCCTAAGCGGACGGGCCACAAGGGGGCCATGCGCCCCCCTGTTGATTGAAACACAAAACAAAAAAATTTTCCTTGGCCTCTCCGCCGCTCGTCACAGGACTGCCACAATTCCTGTACTTCTGCATCTGCTGAACAACATTGCTCTAAAATGAGCATTGTGCAAGTCCTAAACTCGTTTCTACAATTGACCCACCACGATTCTCTGCTCTCATGCTCCTGTGTCGTTGAACAGAGTAGTGAATGACAATTAATTCAACGAAATCCTCAAAATGTTCGTTCAAAATCGACGAGAAGACTTGACTTTGGATGTTGAATTTCGCAGCAGACAAAACATGACTGAAAAGAAAGGAGAGTAATTTCATTCTTTGCCCAGATGTGTTGTTTGTTGCAAAGTTGGCCTCTGACTTGAATTTTATGGTTCTGAACTCTTGATTGACAGAAGAAAGAAAATGGAAATGCTTTGTGAATAACTTTAGCTTATATTCGAACTTATAGACGGCCATATTTGGCAATCCACCTCCAGGTTTTTATTTCAAATCGATTTCAGACACGATTTAAAGTAACGTTTCTCATATGCAGCGGGAGGCCAAAAACAATTCTTTCTGGTGAAATTCCTTTTTATTTTAATAGAGCGCTATTTTGGAGCTACCTTTGTTTTTATTTGAAATCAAATTGCTCAATATTGCCGTTTTTAGTTCCTCATCAGAGGCAAAGCATAAAACCATTTTTAATAACGAAACAAAATGTTAAATGCTGCATCTTTAACGCTAGTGTGATTCTAAACGATTGTAAATCTTTTTAATTTAAATAAACTTGCATGTTTATTCAGTGCAGTCCAAAACACATCTACCTGTTTTTTGCCCGTAGATCTTGTATTCGATTTCATTCAAATATGCCTCTACTTTTTCAAAAATAATTTTCAACTTCTTAACATTTTATATGAGCGGAACTTGAGAACCAGTTTTATGACGGATAAATGCCAACATTGCATTCGGTACTGCCTAACAACACAGAATCAAAACTAATTCCAATATTCCGCTCAGTGCTTGAATTGAGGACATAGGCCGTACAAAGGGGGGGCGGCGCCACAAGGAGGCCAGACCCCCTCATGATTCGGGAAGAGTACAAAA